TCAGCAGCATACGCTTCATGGATGACATAGTTACAGAAGCAGCCCCCTTTTCTCTCCCCTCCCCCCACAAAAGGGTGAGATTAGAGGTGATCCTAGTGGTGAACAAGGAGCTGACCGAGCCCAGAGCCTGGATTTGGAATTCCTCCTTCGGATATCAGAACCTTCTCTAGACTATGTTCCAAGGAACCCTAGCGACTCAAGATAGGTGTTCCTTGCAGAAAGGGTTCTGTGGCCAATAGGGTTGGGAAATACTGCATATTTATCCTCTTTAGGGATTTGCAGTGTCTTAGCATATTAAAGAAAACCCAGCTCACTATGGTTAGCAGCCAGAAGACGTGTTCCCTGGCTCAAGTTTGAGAAACATTGGTTAACACGTGAGACAGGACAGATAGACACAGAAGAACAAAGGCCAGCCAGCACCCTGGCTGCTACCTCTTGGCCTCAACATGAGGGACCCCTGCTGTGGTCCTGGAAATGCAGGGAGAGCCAGTGCTTCATAGCTCCGGCTCCACGGAGGAGATGCGCGTGAGCTGTCTTTGTGGGCGGAGGAGGCTGATGGACGTGGAAAGGAGCCTGTCTGGGCCTGCTGTTCTGCCACAGGAAGTACTGGCGTTTGGCCGAGGAGGGATTGGTGCTGCGCTGCTGCAAGCAGAGAGCAGGGGACTGTTTCCAGCCAACTGTCCTTCAGGTCTCCTGGTCAGCTGCTGGGAGGGGAGGGACAGGATGCTCATGGCCTGTCGTCAGACTCACTGACAAAGTCGGGAAATGCCTGCCTTCCTCTCGGCCTGTGTCTCGTGTTGGCTTTTTGGTGACCAAGAAACAAAAACCCACTTGAACTCTAGCTCAAGAAAACCTGTAGACTGTAATAAAGACTTTCTTAAAAATGCCTGTGAAAGGCATTCTGCAAGGGCAGATGTTAGAAGCATTCTCTTTAAAGTCAGGAGCAAGACAGTATCACCCGTTTTTGTTCAGCGTTGCCCTGGAGTCTTGGCTAGTGTTTAAAGACTAAGAGAGCCCGGCCGCCGTGGCTCAGTGGATGGAGTGTTGGCCCTCGGACTGAAGGGCTGCAGGTTCAATGACAGTCAAGGGCAACATAGCTGGGCTGCAGGCTCGATCCTGGCCCATGTCTCTCTCACATCGATGTTTCTCTCTCTCTCTCTCTTACCCTCCCTTCCACTCTCTCTAAAAATCAATGGAAAAATATCCTCAGTTGAGGATTAACAACAATAGATAAAAGAATAAGAAAGAGAAAAAGAAAAAGAAATTACAAGCATAAGAATAAAAAAAAAGAGGAGGTAGACCTGTCATAGTTTGTAGATGGTAATTGTCTGTATGAAACACTGAGACATAGCTAGGCAAGTGACTAGGACAGTGGTTCTCAACCTTCCTAATGCCCCAACCCTTTAATACAGTTCCTCATGTTGTGGTGACCCCAACCATACAATTATTTTCGTTGCTACTTCATAACTGTAATGTTGTTACTGTTGTGAATCGTAATGTAAATATCTGATATGCAGGATGTATTTAGGCGACCCCTGGGAAAGGGTCGTTCGACCCCCAAAGAGGTCATGACCCACAGGTTGAGAACCACTGGACTAGGATAACCAGAGAGGTTAGGAAGGTGTCTGGAGAGAAGATACAAAAGTCAATTGTATTTCTGTATATTGGCAATAATGAAAATAGGTATACCGGTATATGTTTAAAATAAATCTTTTATTTTAGACTAATTTTAGATTTACAGAAAAATTGCAAGGCTAGTGCAGAATGCTTCCACAATCCCTCACGCAGTTTTCCCGGTGTTAACATCTGACTTTGCTGTGGTACATTAAAGGGGGGAAAATACACACACACACACACACACACACACACACGTACATATATAAGTCGGTGACTTTACCATTAATAGGGACAAAATATTAATATTTACT